GCCATGAATCGGAAAAAACTACCATTTTGGAAGAAAATTTTCCACCACGGCCCCTGATAGTAGAAAATGGAAATTTCCAAAAATTCCAAAAACTTGGTATGCAGTTTGGTGACGTTTGGGGACTCAAATGACATTTCACCACTTTTATGGAAAAAGTCTGGCAACACTGAAAGTTATGGGGAAAAGTTTTTTTTGCGACATGGGTGACTTTAAAGTTAGTGACGGACGGAAAGAATTATGGCAGAAAAAAAATAAAAATGACGNACCTCCCCGTCTGAAGGCCAGCGGCCGACTGCCGCCCGCACCCCGCGAAGGCCCCCTCAACAGCAAAACGTTCGGAATTTATCAAAAGTAAAATTTATGAATGAAAGTAATGTTCGATTGAAAAACGCAACGTGTCATTTAAAGATTAAAGAATTCTTAATCTATTCGTGCAAAAATCTTTAAAATTAACATAGCCGTTTGGGAGGAGTAGGGAATTGAAGTAAAAAATCGATGTCCCGTATTTATTTTTTTAATCCACAACAAAGAGACGTAGGAAAAATTCAAACGTGTCAAATGTAGTCCTTGAACTGTTGTATAACATATATTTTTTTCAACTATTTCTGTCCAGCAGTAAAAGAGGAGTAGGCTTTACAAAATGACCATTTTACGCGGATTGAGGACACTAATCGCCTTAAGATGATAGATACTTGCAACTTTATTATTTCTATCGGGCGACAGCGTTCCGGGTTCCGATTGTAATAAAATTATAATTGCGCACAGTACCGTCTGTACGCACGCAAACGCACAGAAGCCTTTTTTTAATTTGGCGCTTACAAATTAGTTTAATATCCTTGTTAACCCCTTCTAGTAATTTAAATAAATATTGCTTAGACTTGTGTTAGTGAGTGGGTGCTGTCCAGTGTCCACACGACTTTGGAAATTAGTGCTGTCCGCACGAATTTGGAAGCATTTAATAAAGGCACATGGTTATTAAAAATGTGCGCGTTTCATAATCAACCTACACTTTAGGTAGCTACTGAGGAATCGGCAATACCATCGAAATTAGTTAGCGTAGTACTTGTAACATACGTAATATCTTAAAAATTATTGCGGTAATTATCATATTAAATCTCGAATCTACAAGCACGCGCCTAATTCATTGAGTTATGATTCATAAATCTGCTTTAATACGGGACAAAAAATGTAGACCGGAATAGAGAACAATTGAAAATTAAAATATTTATTACATAATTTACGAGTTTGCGATGACACTGCGCGCGATTGTTTTTTGTTTTTACCAAACTGGTGTACTATTTTTTTCGCGCGCTTATGCAAACGCCTTGCAGAGTGCATGCATGAATATTAACTGACATGTACTTCTTGCATAAAAAATATGCATATTCAAATGGGGCATTCCACGCGAAGCGGGCAGGTAAAAAAAGTCGATGTTTCCGATTTCAGTAATATTTGAGTATGTTCTACCTATACATATTATTGATACGTGTACCAAATATTTTTGTAATGTAATGACTAGTTTAAGAGTTATGGGTCTTCGAAGTTTTCGACAACCGGTTGGCATGCAGTACTTCAAAGCCGATTATGGAGTCATAAAATTATATATTAAAATAATTAAACTACGGGACTTATTACTTCATTTACCGTGCTTTTTAACTGTATTTTTGGAAACGAAAAGAAAATTATTTTTTCCTAAAAAAAATGCAAATTAATTTTTTATCCTTGATTTTCACAAAGTTCGACCCTTTCGATTTTTTAAATTTTTTTTATTTAAATAGTTAAAATTGCGTAGAACATTCATGCCAACTTTCAAAGTGGGCGTGGAAGTGGATTCGGAGCTAGACTGAAAATACTGCCGAAGGGTGGCGTCCAGCGCCGCGCCGTCGCGCTGCCGCGCCTGAAGCCCGCCGCCTGTGCGCGTTTAGTTAAACTGACAAGCAAATAAAATCACTTTTGACGGAATGTTTTTTAGATTTTTAATAACACCAATACATTTTTAGAAACCTATTAAATACTAAAAAAATACGTTATGGCCAGGCTTGTTCTTACTCGGACACTGAAAGGACCGCTCCGAACTCCGAAAATCGGTCAAATGAACTAGNAACGTACATCGGGTATATAAAATAAACGTACAATCATGATACCCAATCTGCTTTTATGGGAATGCTTGTCTCTACAATCCATGAAAAATAATAGAACTAAAACACCTAAGTTTTTCCATCGATATTGGCAGAAATAAATCTTCTCGAAGAGTTTGGTTGCCATAAAAAAGAGCTAATTAATAAAACGGCTAGAGTTGTGTGAAACCAGAGAGCTAGGTATAAAACTTTCTACACTGAATTCTTCATTAATTGGTTCAAAGTCAGTGGTTCTTATGTTCGCGGAATCTTTATCAACAAATAACAAACACAATTTTAAGTAATCTGTATCTATCAATCTAAACAATTCATACCCATGTAACCGCTTATTACGACATTGATCTGTCTAACTACAATGCCTCTAAGTTCACCGAGCGTTGGCAAAACGCTACATTACTGGAAAAAATTGGGCATTGTCTATTAACAATACTAAAAGTCGACACACAGGCCGAGGAACGGAGTTAGGGTTCGTACACATCAACACGCTGCGACAACGCATTGTGGCTTGTGGCACGATGCGACTTCGTATCACGATGCGACGTCGTATCGTGGGAATCTAAGACGAGCGAGTGACACGACATCACATTTGGTCGTGTGGCTAGTCGCAGTTAATTTATTTATTTATTAGGACGACCAACAAGACAAACTCCCATAAGTATAAGAAAATGAAATTATAACAAAAAATTAAATTATTCTAATAAATCTCGAAATATTAACCGCATTAGACATGTTCTCCTCATGCTGATATCAAAAAGACGATTAAAGAAAATAGAGATACACAGAAGATAGGTACTGGATAGGTACATACATCTATTTCTTTCAGTTAGGATATGAGTCATTTTAAGAAGTACACTCTTCGTAGATTCACACGATGCGACATCGCATCGTCACATCGTGTTGATGTGTACGAGCCCTAACTCGCAAATTACTTGCAATTAAGATGATAGATACTTGCAACTTCATTATTTCTATCGGGCGACAGCGTTCCGGGTTCCGATTGTAATAAAATTATAATTGCGCACAGTACCGTCTTTACGCACGCAAACGCACAGAAGCCTTTTTTTAATTTGGCGCTTACAAACCCCTTTCAGTAAATTAAATAAATATTTTATACTTGTATAGTGAGTGGGTGCTGTCCACACGACTTTGGAAATTAAGTAGTGCTGTCCGCACGAATTTGGAAGCATAAAGTCACATTGGTTATTAAAAATGTGCACGTTTATTATGCAATCTACACTTAGGTACTGAGGAATCGGCATTACCATCGAAATTAGTTGGCGCAGTAGGTACTTGTAACATACGTAATATATTAAAAATTATTGCGGTAATTATCATATTAAATCTGTACGCTACAAGCACGCGTCTAATTCATTAAGTTATGATTCATAAATCTGCTTTAATACGGGACAAAAAATGTAGACCGGAATAGAGAACAATTGAAAATTAAAATATTTATTACATAATTTACGAGTTTGCGATGACACTGCGCGCGATTGTTTTTTGTTTTTACCAAACTGGTGTACTATTTTTTTCGCGCGCTTATGCAAACGCCTTGCAGAGTGCATGCATGAATATTAACTGACATGTACTTCTTGCATAAAAAATATGCATATTCAAATATAGGCTTGGTAAAAGGAAGAAATTTCAGTTTATTATATTCCGGGGTTTAAACTAATGATAAACTTTCTACATGTTGTGATAATTGTAGTTAATAACCTAACCAAAACCGTAGTCTACGTTTTTAGAAATCAAACAACACAATAATAAAAACTTTTTCCTAAAAAAGAAAATACGAAAATTGTACCATTTTTTTGCAAATAATTTGTACCAATGTTTACTAACTTAATAACCACAATACAGTTCACATCAGGAATTATGATATCTTTCTGTCAATAATATAATTAAACTCGTACTCTGTCGCTTAGATTTTCATCAATACATGAGATCGTAAATGCGAAATGGCATAGTGTGCGTTTTAAAATTATTATTATTAAAATTATTACGATTCTAATTTCTTATAGTATGTTGCGCTTATTTATTAGAGCATTCGCCTCGACCAATATAGGGTGTTAGTAAACAATAGCAATGGCGATTAATGACCTTATGAATGAATGGACTTATGAATTTGTGGCACGTATCAGAATTTTGATTCCTCACATTAAGTATTCGTTTGATTAGGGAAAAATAGAGACATTATAGCTTCATCATCATCAACATTTTAGCCCAAGGATGTAGGTATGTCACAGCGGAACATAGTGCTTTTGGTATTACAGCACATTTTCAATAAATAATATCAAACGCTTGTTTTTAGGTCAACTGCAATGAATGACTAAACAACTTGTTTAAATGAAAAATCTCAATACAATAGAGACATGTTAATGAGCAATTGAGATGACACGATAACGAACCGATAGCGTATCGCCACCGACTCTATGTGAGTATTTAATTTATAGCCCATTAGTTAAAAAATAGAGACTTTTAAAAAGTTTTTAAAAGTTACAATTCAAACTGAAGTAAAATCCTATTGAATTTCGATAAAAAAACCAAACAACCATAATTCCAGTCTTTCCAGGAAAAAGGCTTATGAGTTAGGGGAAGTATGAGTTCACTGTTAAGTTTATGCCTAACTCTACCTTACTACACCCTGTATCTCTATTTGTAATTTTCACTCACGCAAAACACTTTTTCACTTTTCAGCAGACTTGTGAAAATGCTGCAAGAAATTAGGCACTCTTCTTTACACCTTGACCTAGTCATAAATCTACTGTAATCTCACAAACGTAAACAACTGTAACCGCTACAATACGAACTTGAAACATCAAAACTCGTCACTGACACTGAACTTGAACCCTAAGTACTAACCGGTATACGCTCTCCATGACTCTAGGGTGCAGACAAGCCTTGTATAGTACGCGTCGGCCTTTATATCTGAGACAAAACAACACTGTATCGGATTTTTGTACGCAGAAGGTGGATACCGGCTTTTTTCTCGATACGCAACGTTCGACTGCAGTCTTACTCGGCGGGCGTGTCGTGTCAAATAGCTGGTGGGGTTTCATTTACATGTTTTTTCACCAATGTTCACAGAAGCAGTCGTTCGGAACTCGGAACCTGATGTACAGTTAATTTGTTAATTATTCGATAATGTTCAAGGTTTGTATTGATCGTTAAAAAACGTTCTTGGGAATAATCAGCAGTGTTGTTCCCAGGTTTGATTCTGGGGTAATTCAGAAAAATAAACCGGCCAAGTACGAGTCGGACTCGCGCACCGAGGGTTCCGTATAAACCTGTAACTTTGATTTTTTTTAAAAGGTAGTTATAGACCGAGTATTTATTGTTAAGAATTTCCATTTAATACCTAATTATTAAAATAATTTTATTATTCAGATGTAACTAAATTTTCGTAATTTTCCCTTTATCTGTGTTTTAAGACGTTGCTTCGTACCAAATTTCATAATTCTGAGTTCACGGGAAGTACCCTGTAGGTTTTGATTTCCTTTAGTGTCGAAAATTTGCTGAAATTTGCGGAATCGAACATAAAAAATTGGTTATAGGGAGAAAGTTGTCTCAAACATCGTAGTTATTTTTGTCCTAATTAACTAAAGTCGGTTATTTTCAATAAACTGTAAGTAGGCATCTGTTTGTTTGCTCACATGGTTCACGTAGCCTGTATGAGGAAATAAATGTCATAAATTAATTAAATACCACGCATTTCAGAAATAAATGATGTTACAATATAATAATAGTCGAGTGTGATGCATCAACAATTAAAATATTTCACATTTATTTTAGTACATGACTATACCTAAACTAATGAAGATGATGAAACACTCAGTTCACATCAACAACAAGACTTGAGTAAACAGTAAATAGGTAACTGTGTAAAAAAGCTCTGAAATCTCAAAAAAATCCCTGTCATACAGGATGTCTCAAAATTCGTCACACAGAGCAGAGGTCTGAAAGAGAGAGAAGAAATGGGCCTAAGTAAGACGCATTGATCAAGCCTAATAATATCAATTTTGAAAAATGACTAAAACTGATCATATCTCGAAACTCATGAAACTTTTCTATAGATTTATTAGGCTTGTACGTCTTAGGCTCATCTACCTTCGGTGTTAGTGTGACGTGCAAATTTTGAGACATCCTGTATATTATGTACAAAATCATAACAGCTACCGGTTTTATATCGGAACCCGATTAGTATGAGTAGATGTTCTTAGTGGGCATAGAAGAAGGGAAGAATTCCTTCACTGGTTGGGTTCTTATTGCTGGTCAAGCTGTAGATCCTGGCTACACAGGAGCAGCGGTGGGAATAGTCCAGATTTATTTCCTTATACCACCTCTTTATTCGTTGTTGTTTACATAAACTACCTAATCTAGTATCATACCAACCCTGGTTACGATCAAAGTTCGTCATTATCATCATCAGTGGCCTAATTCAAGTATTTTGACACCTATACAGTCAAAATCTCGCTGAAAGTTCAGAAGTCGTCCCATTAAAACAGTTCTAAATCCGTATTCACAAGGGTCATTTCGATAGAACGATTACTCGATAGGATCGCAACTCAGCGATTTGTTGTCGTTAAAGTTTTGTTACGTGAATAAGGCTACTGGTTATGTAGTCTCCATTGCAGGAGCACGACCCTCTCCAATTTACCAGAGACAAATGGAGGGTTTAGCCTACACTCCCCACGCTGGCTTGAACTTGACCTTCACTGGTTGGGTTAGGTTATTTTAGGTTAGGGTTGGGTTTTTGGCGGTCAAGCTGTAGATCCTGACTACACAGGAGTTGCAGCGGTGGTAACGAGAGGTGTTAATAGTCCGCCTCTGTGGTCTAGTGGACCGCCTCTGTGGTCTGGTGGTAAGACCACCTGCTTCAGACGCAGAGGTCCCGGGTTCGATTCCCAGTGGAGGCAGATTTTTCCGTTCGGTTTGGTTGGTGGTAGGACTTGTTCTAAGTCCGCCTGGCTAGCCACCACCATCTTACCTAAGTCTGTCGCCATAACAACAATGTTAACAACATTGTTGTGTTCCGGCAGTTAGAGGTAAGATAGCCAGTTCCTCCGTGGTTGAGGAATCCGGGTGAAGCTCGCTTCCACCTTCGTGGTGAGATACAGGCCAAGAGCTTCCTCGTTGTGGATAAATAAAATAAAAAAAGTCCCGTAAACGTTGGGGGCAAGTGGGTGGTGAACGCGAATAAAGGTGTATCTATATCTACTTGTCACAGCGGATGCCTAAAGTGGAATTTACGTCGACTGTTACAATAGATAGTTACAATGTTCTACAATTACCGTTACTTACATAGTAATGTCATCACAATTACTAACCATTTAGCGAAATATTATAAAAATACGCTTCGTTTGAACTATGTGAGTCACCATACCAATCATCTACCTAATTGCGTACTTTGTGAATCATGTTTTTAATTAATTATATTATTTAAGTATGTGTTATGATTTGGAAACAAAATTTCAGACGCTAATCGGTAATTTAATCAAATAAAAGTGATAACTGCGATTAACTGTATGGTTTATAATATCATCTAGATTCCTAACATGATAAATATGCTGTAATATAGTTAACCCTTCCTATTATTTATATGCATAACATAGTTAAATTTTGGCAATTCTAGAAATAATAACATATTCCAATAAAAACATCAATTATTAAAACTGGCTGTAAGAATCAAAATGCTGTTTACAGACAACGCGGACGGCAAATCAAGTAATTTTTTTTACTACAGTTTTTCATATGACACTGTAAATTATTTAAGTTCTTAATTAACCAAGTAATTAGGCACTTAATTAACAATAGAACATAACGAGTTAAGATGACGTTAGCAATTTAATAGTTGTGTTACTGGATAACGCAAAACCTAACTAAGCTAAAACATTCATTTTATCTAACCGATTTGAAAATATAATTCTTTGTTTATACTCTCAGGACCCTAGGTTGGACCCAGTTAAATTTTATCAAAATCGGTCCAGTTACCAGTATTTTATTTAGTTATCAAATAATTGGAAAAATGACTTGTAAAGTATTACACACTTTCTTGAATATTAGAGTCGGATTTTTTAAAAGAGTAGTCCCGATAACCCTTCGTGATAAGCTCAATAATATGTTGGTGTTACAAGTGGGTTCCCGAGTCTGTCAGTCCGACACCGACACCATTAAGCTATTTTTTTTAAATCCACAACGAGGAAGCTCTTGGCCTGTATCTCACCTTATGATAAGTGACGATCAGGCCGAAGGTGGAAGCGAGCTTCATCCGGAATCTTCAACCACGGAGGAACTGGCTATCTTACCTCTAACTGCCGGAACACAACATAATCGATTGTTAAAGTATTAAGGTTTAGAAAGAACTGTTATCCCTTGGCTCTGACCTCAAGACTGGAAGTCAGCCAGCGAGCTGCGCTAGAATCAACCATACTAGGCTATTAATTCTGTGTCCTAGGCTAGACCTTGCCAAAATATCTAACGGTTTGACCACATTAGCAGCCATTTCACATGTTACATGCGTTTCCCTGCCTGATCTGTATTGCAAACAATATGCAGTTAGAAATCATTAACTGTATCTAAACAACAAGTATGAGACTTAAATCAATCAATGCTCAATCATTATTTGCATTTCACAGGGTGAACAAGGTCTTACAAAAAACTATTTAGATCAAGATCCCTGTCGGGCACTAATTTACAACAATCTATGAGTCTATTCTGAGGACACTGAAGTTTCTAAGCTTCCTTTTAAGGTTTTTCCCAAGATTTTAAAAATAACTAGCCGACCCGGCGAACTTTGTTCCGCCTTAATGGCAATAAATAAGCAGACGTTTTTTTTATTTCGAACGGGATAAAAAGTATCCTATGTCCTTCTCCTGGCTCTAAACTACCTCCCTGACAATTTTCAGCTAAATCGGTTCAGCCGTTCTTGAGTTATAAGTGGAGTAACTAACACGACTTTCTTTTACATAGGTACAACGTGTCCCAAAATTCAAGGATAAGCCGGCGCCGCAGGGTGGACATAGTCATGACTGCGCACTATGGAGCGAAATTGCGATTTATGGACATAGCGATTTTTTTCACAATTTCTTTTTGAAAAAAATACCTATCGATAGGTTACGTTATTCTGATGAATAAATGCTGCACAAGTTTTTCTCTAAAACCAATAGTTTGACTGGAAAAAAATATTTTCCATTTTCGTTGTATGGAATGAAACATAAAGTGGTCGATTTCGACTAAGCCTTGACAGATCTTGCTTTGAAACTACTTGAAAAAACTTGCCGCAGTAGTGTTCATACTGTTTTTTTACAAAACGACGAGTCAAAGTGGAGTGTAAGTAAAAATCGTTCAAAATTTTAAGGAAATATCATATTTTGATTAACTTTTGTGTAAAAACTGCAATGATTCTGAGGGTTTTAAGAATTGGGGTGGACAGCAGCACTACTTAAGTTGCCGATACAAACAAAAAAACTGAAGTATTTGAAAAATTGTAGTCGTGGTAATGTAAAATATCATAAGGGGTGTCAATTTTCGACGAATTTCATAATTTATTGTGTAACTTAAAAAATAATTGAGATAGATTTTTTTTCTTATTTTTCCTAAAGCAGTCATGACTAGGTCCACCCTGCGGCGCCGGCTTATCCTTGAATTTTGGGACACGTTGTATATAAGATAATGAACCATACGATATTTTAGTGTTAGTGTCAGCGTCAAATAGTAGATGACACCCAAAGTAGCCAAAAAAGTTGACAACGCATCCTTATTCCAACTGTAAAAGTCTGCATACTTTTTGACTACTTTCATCATCATCATCATCATCTCAGTCATAGGACGTCCACTGCTGAACATAGGCCTCCCCCAATGCTTTCCATGCATTGACTACTTTGGGTGTCACTAATTATTTGAAGCTGACTTCACATATTGATCTACGAAATTGTGAAGTTTTCCCGATCGGAAATCGAGGCTGGAACCTATCCTATACAACGCTAAGCTACTTAGTATCGTCTAAAAATAATCCACGTGTTGTTGATAGGGTTTAACTATGTG